CCTGTTCCCTCCTCCCGCAATCTTAGAGCGCACATTGGCCGACTTCCTGAGCAATTATGGCCAGCACTTGGGCCACGACTTTGTTGACTCTTATCACTTCGTTAAGGGCAAAAGGCCGGGACAAAATGGCCCCGTGTGTGGACACGCTCCTGTTTACTATAGTCCAGTCCTCAAATACCCCCCCCCCTCCCAAGAACACCCACTTCCTCATCTTTTTTTTTGTGTTGTCTTTACTCTCGCACACGTCGTATGATTCGTTGGAAACATTTCTGACAAACGTCTAAGATTCACAAAATCATTATCACTCGGCTGTAAACGTAAAAAGAGTACTATTTCTTTCTCCCATACGTGTTTATAAACATGAATTATAAATATTCATAAATCAGTTATATAAATTGTACAATTTATTTTTCCCACAAATGTAAAACTGCCTCATATCTTTCTCGAAAATATACATAATGTTGTTGCAAATATTTTTCTCTAACGTATTAACTCTATCATATTATTGTGTTTTCTCCCGGGGTAGTTGCATTCACTGTACAATAATATATTTCTCCCGTATCGTATTAACTGAGGCATAGCCTACACGTCTCCCATATAATTGTTAAGCGTGCTGACTAAATAAGTTACTTCTCGAATTTTAGCTCTACAAACATAATATAGGTACGCTTATACGATTTTTTATTTATTAGTATAAACTAATAAAAAGACGTTATAAATTTGAAGAAAATGTTTTCAGTTGAAAATCTACAAATTTGATCCTCGTGTGGATTTTCAGCCAATATCTCCATTCGCAGATGACGAGAAGTAATTAATTTTGCCAGCACATATCAGATACTATGCCTTCTGCCTGTATGTTATGCATTAAGTGTATCCTTCTCTCATAATGTGAAATTCGGGTTCTATAGCCGTCATGATTTCGCAGTTCAATCTAATTTTACTTCAAGCATTTTTCTTTACTTCTGCATGACTTGGAATCCCAATTTCCATGTATTAGTTGATAAGCGATAAATTTGCTGTAAACTATATTTCGGCACTCTGTCTGTCTGTCTGTCTGCCATTTTCTCTCTCTCACTCTCTCTCTTCTCTCTCTCTCTCTCTCTCTCTCTC